AGTAGCAGCAGTAGTAATCAGTAGTAGTATTAGTAATAATATTAATCGTACTATTAGTAATAATAGTAATAGTACTGATAGTAGTATGTAGCAGTGGTAGTAGTAGTAGTAGTAGTAGTAACTTAGTAGTACTAGTAGTACTAGTAGTAGTAATAATAAAAGTAGTAGTAATAATAAGAAGAAGAACCCACTGCCGTAAGTAGTAGAGGACGGCCCCGCCCCCCTAGTCCCCAAAAAAAGCTTCGCGTGCAGCCTCAAATATACGGTGCAGCGTCGCCAACCCCACCGCCCTTCCTGCCTTTGCACCCCCTGCCCCGTTGTGTGGGCGGGTTGGGGTTTGGGTTGCTAGTGCTGCTAGTGGGCGTGTGCTGTTCTCCGACTTCCATGGCATGATACCCTCTCCCGCCATATGGGTGGGTGTGTATCAATGCCCCTCAGCATGTTTGCTCTTCGCTCGGATTGGCCCTCTCGAGCTGTTCAACAGTTACGAGAATCGAAACAGACCACCCATCCTTGCACCTGTTAGGCACTGCTGAGGCGTCGCCGGAAATTGAACCAGAAGCGGCCCATCGCTGTGTTTGTTGGCAGTCTCGACGCGGCACCACATATACTACTGATTTTTAGAACCAACACCGACTCTGAACAAAACAAGTGCATACAAATACCAGCTCGCATGCCATGCGGATGTCGTGGCTTGCTCTTGCTTTGAACTCTGAGGCAGAGAAGCAGACGTACAGAGAACAGATTGAAGCAAGCTTTGCTCTGTGCCTCTCGTGTCTGCAAGTCTTGGAGAGTTGGAGCCCTTCGGCAGGTTTGATCCTCTGACGGTGGTGCGACTTAGCCCTGAGCAGGGCTCCCGGAGCGTGTGCCGACAATCATTCCCTTTGTTTCTCAAAGTCGGTGAGAGGGTATACATAGATAAATCTGGAAAACACAGAGCTGAAGCACCGACTGGGAATGGGGCCTCAAATGTCGAAGATTTTTCCAAGTCAATAGCAGAAAGACCCGATGGAACATGTCGGTGCGTCTGCAAGCGTACGCATCCATCTCCCCTGCAGAATGTAGCGGAGAGGACCCCAGCGCCGACAAGTTTGTTCAACATACGTGGCCACCGGGTGGGCTTCCTGCGGGTCTTGTGGTCTTGTTGTCTACATTACCTGCCACCCAAGGAGCCGGAACCCTGGTTACCTACACCTTTGGCAACAGTATAAACCTGCAGGGCATAGAAGCAGATGTTCTCCTGTTTCTTTCGCAATTCGCGGGCAACTCGGTGACTATCGACGATCAACGACGAGCAACAGTGTCATGTCCAGCTGGCCTCGAGGTTGTCTTCTGGCATCGAGATGCGGTCCTCGCCAACTCGAGGATGGCACCCGCAGACCTGCTTGCACTTATATACACTCCTTCGATATTGTTCTTGTTTTTGTCCTGCCTCTTTGATGTTTTCTTTGTTGAGCTCGGAGGCGCCGCTTACTGGGTCGAGGATGAGGAGGCACAGTGCTCCGTCGAACACATCCTAAGAGTCGTGATGTCCAAAAAGTTCGGCCAAAAAGACTAACCGGTGATTGGCAATTCTTCCAGGCACGGCCGAGGCCAGCACGCCCTTCGCCAAGAGATGCCCAAAGTCAGCTTTGCACACAGGGAGGGAGTGAGGCTCCACGGATTGACTTCGAGTAAGGTCGCTCGGAAGATCCTCAAGGCCTGGACTGTCGCGCGAGACGAGAAGCGATTTGGGCACAGCTTGCAGGTGTCACAGCACAGGGTCACCTGGCCGTACTGTCTGCACAAGCTGCTGAAGGCTCGGAAAAACGAATTGAAGTTCAGTTTGAGGCACAAGGCACTTCACCTTTTTTCCGCTCAGGGAGCGCACCTCGGGGCCTTTGCGTGACCGGAGGCGGGGTCTTAGAGTGCTCTAGCTCAGCTGCTCAGCTAGGCTGTCCTTTCTACCATTCTAGCGGGCACCCGGTCAAGATACTGTGTGCGGCGATGCGGCTGCTGGTGTGATATTCATGCATCGGTTAGTCGCCGCACATCAGGTGGCGCCGCGTGTGCCTCAACCGCCAGGGCCTCAATGCTTCGTCCCCGCATCGATGGCACATCCTTCCACAAAACTACAAAGACTAAGAAGGCAAAACAACTGGCACGAAGTCTTTTACAGGGTTTGCACTTCGCTTTAGGCTCTCAGATTCTTCCAAGCACTCCGCTTCCGTCGCATTATGGTGTTTTTGTGAGGACAAGCACCCCCAGAAATCTTAGAGGACCACTTTAACAGTCCACCTCGTGGTCCTACCAAGCCACTACGAGGATGCGCATGCTGAACTCAGATGCTTGTCTCATCCAATTCAGCTTTTCGATCATGGCTGTGGTGCGTCGGGAAAATGTTAATTGGCTCGGCTCGGTTCTCCCATTCCAAGTCACGAAAGCTAGCTCCTTGGAGCTTGCGGGAGTTCTTGTTTACAATCTCTTTGTTGGGGAGAAAGCAGCCTCGGCGAGGTCCTTTTGCCTGATATATCAAGGACTTTTAGGGTCTTTCCTCGATATTTCAGACGCTGGCCGTTTCGATAAGGGGGAGGGGAGGCCCCCCCCCTCCCCCCCTCCTCAAGGCCCCCCCCCCCCTCCCGAAGGCCCCCTGCGAGTTGAGCTCATGTGATTGCTGTTTTGGTGTCTTGCAGCATGCTTGGTGCTTTCTACTGCAGGCTTTGGCCTATCCATCAGTATCAGATTGCAGTCC